CCAGGGACCCCTCGCCCAGTGCCGAGATGTGTCTGGCTCTGGGGTGGAGCAGGGGGCTGGTTACACAGGGACCCACCTCAGCGGTGCTGACCCGCCCCTCGGCGAAAGCGCACTCCCGGGGATCGTGGGTGCAGACGTGCCGATATTTGCACCACTGGCAGGCGAACCGGCTCCTCACGCAGGACAGACACCTGGGGAGGGCAGCAAAGGATTAAGGGGGGGCGGAATCTCCCCCTCCCTCACCCGACTGACCCCCATGCCCCAGATGTCAGGCCCCCCCCCCCATCCCTTCCCAGACCCATTGTTCCCTTGCGGCCAGGGACAATGCTGGCACCACTGCCCCTCCCCCGCCCCCTGGTGTTTACATGGGGGGAAGGGGGGAGGGGATTCTATTAGCCTGGCCCCAGCAAGGAGCCATCTGCCCCCGCCCCAGCGAGAGACACAGGCTCCCTCCACCCACTGAGTGCGAGGGGGCTGCGGGTCGATAGTGAGGGGCAGGGCTGGGAGTGAGGGGCGCCAGCGGGGCCGGGGGCTGCGGGTCGGGAGTGAGGGGCAGGGCCGGGGGCTGCGGGTCGGGAGTGAGGGGCGCCGGGGGGGGCGGGGGCCGGGGGGTGGGGGGGGAGGGGCGCCGGCGGGGGGGGACTCACGACGGGAGGAGGCTGCAGTTGTAGAAGACGAAGTCAGCGCCAGCAAAGTCCATCATGGTCTCAAGCGAGTGAAGCTGAAGCCGCACGGAGCGAGCGTCACCTGGGGGGACCAGGGTGGCAGCGTCATGGGGGGCAGGGCTGAACCCCCCCAGCAGGGAGACCCCCCCCAGTCTATGACCCCTACCCCCAAATGTGTTCCTGACCTTTGCCCTCTGTCCTGCCCTGTCGCCGCGGCCCTGACCTTTGCCCTTTGAACTCTCCTGCCCACCCCACCCCACTCACCGTGGGGGCCAGTACCGGGGGGCAGCTCCCTGGGAGTGGGTGACTGGCAGCGGATGAGGCCCCCGGGCAGCACCTCGGCCTTGCTCTGCCCCAGGCCCTCGAAGGAGCAGGTCACGCCGGGCCCCAGGTCCGGGAGGTTCTGCACCGTCAGCTGCAGCTAGAGCCCCAGAGAGACAGGGTTAGAGCCGGGGGGCCGGGGTCCCCCCAGGGGCCTAGAGACAGGGGGCAGGATCCCCCCAGAGATGGGGGTTAGAGACGGGGGTGGGTTCCCCCCAGAGATGGGGGGTTGGAGATGTGGGGTGGGATCCCTCCAGAGTTGGGGGGTTGAAGATGGGGGGTGTTGTCCCCCCAGAGATGGGGGTTAGAGCCGAGGGGCGGGGTCCCCCCCAGGGGCCTAGAGATAGGGGGCAGGATCCCCCCAGAGATGGGGGTTAGGGATGTGGTGTGGGGTTCCCCCAGAACTGAGGTTGGGGTCCCCCCAGAGTTGGGGGGTTGGAGATGTGGGGCATAGTCCCCCCAGAGATGGGGGTAGAGATGTGGGGTGGGTTCCCCCCAGAGTTGGGGGGTTGGAGATGGGGGTTAGTGATGGGTATCGGGGTCCCATCCCGTCCCTCCCCAGAGACACGAGGGGGCTGTTCACCTCTGTCCCCCCATCTCCCAACCAGGCCCCAGGCACCCGGCCCCGCACTCACCAGGACGCTGGCCGCGGTGACGGAGACGTTATTGGGCTCCACGAGCAGCTGGGGGCAGGGGCCCGGCGCAGCCGCGAACCGCTGCGACTCCAGCGCCCGGGGACACTCGCTCTCCCGGCAGCACCTGGGGGGGCGGGGGGGTCAAGCACAGACTGGGAACCCCCAGGTCTGCTCCCCACTCGCTGCGCCGGGCAGGCACTGTCACAGGGGAGCTCACAGTGCTGGGGGAGGGGCAGCCCAGGGAGCTCATTAACCAGCCAGTGGCTTCCACCCCGGGGGCCTCGTTAGTGCAGGATCCTGGGGAGTTCCGGTGCCAGGAGCCCCTCACCCGCCAGGGGGGCTGCGGGTCGGGAGTGAGGGGCACAGATGGGGGGGCTGCTCCATCTCCTCCCCCTACTGAGACGGGGTGGGGGAGGGGCTCCGAACAGGGCCAAGCTGGGGGGCGATTGCTAATTTATTACATGTTCCCAGGTTAGAGCTGCCAGCTCCAGTCACCGCCCCCGCCAACCCTCGGTGTCCCCTCCCCCTGGCCCCCCTCCCCCACTGCTCTGGGCCAGGTTTAATAGGATGAAGTACTTGAGACTCCGATTAGGAAAGGCCGGGGGCTTGGCCAGGAGCTTGCGGGGAGAGGGGAGCCGCATTCCTTCAACTGGCCAGAGACCCCCAGCACACACGGGGGAGGGACCCTGGCTAGGCTGGGAGCCAGGACTCCTGGGTTCTCTCCTGGCTCCAGGGGTGTCTCACCGGTTGTGCAGGACACACCAGCCGCAGTGGGGGTCCCCAGAGCCCAGGCAGGCGTCACACGCGGGGTACTGGCCACAGGTCTCCACCGGCAGCCGCACGACCTGTGGAGGGAGGGGTTAGCGTCTGGGGTGATAGACCAAACCCCCTCCCCTATAGCAGCCCCTCCCAGATACTCCCCCCACATCGCCTGCCCCTCTTCCCTCCTCCACCTCAGGCCCCAGCCCCCTTGGCCCCCTTCCTCCTTCCCCCAACCTCAGCCCCCCGGAGCTAGGGGGCCCACTGCCTGCTGCCCCCTCTTCTTCCCCAGCTCCCTCCCAGCCCCACCTCTCCGCGGCTCAGCAGGTAAAGGTGTCTCTGGTCTGGGCTGAGCTCCATGTCCCGCAGCAGGGGCTGCCCGGGGGTCACTGGCACCGACTCGTACAGATGGGCGTCCTGGGGGCCGTCTACCCGCACCTGGGGGGGGGGGAGCTGTGAGAGAGAGATGCCCCCAGCCCCCCCGAGCCACCCACCTCCCTCGACCCCCCAACCCCGCACCTCTGCACTGGCCCCTCATGTTCAGCAGGATGCAAGGGGGGCCCACAAGGAGGTGTGGGCGGAGGGGAGACCAGCATTGATGTCTCCCCCCACCTGCCAGCCGCCCCCTCCCCTGTTACCCTCCAGCCCAGAGGTTCAGCCCCCCCCCACACCAGGCAGGCTCAACAACCCCTTTCATCCCCGCCAACAAGGGCCCATTGACGGGGGGTCTGACCCAGAGCAACCCCCCCAGCAGGCCCCCAGCCTCCCCCTCCCCAGGGACAAAGCGTCCTTTCAGAGCCGGGGGCCGCAGCCCCCCAGGGTCACCCCCGGGGCGAGGGGCCGAGAGCTCAGACAAGGGAGCCAGTGTGGAGGGAGAGGAGCCACCTCCCACCCACCCCCCATTTCTCCTCCATGCACCCAGCCCCCCTCAGCCCCCCAGCTTCTCCCCTCCTCCTCCCCACCAGCCTAACTGAATTAGCCCCATTTACAGGCTGAGGGGTCGCGACCCCCCCGGGGGGTTCAGGAGTTCAGAGCTAGACAGGCGAGACCCCCCCACGTAACCCAATTCCCGGGTCAGGGCTGGGGCAGCCAGCCTGACACTGAGCCCCCTGGGACTCCCCAGCCGTGGCAGCTGGCAGGGAGAGAGGATGAAGGAGCTGGGGGTGGGGCAGGGTTGGGCTAGCAGGGGCTGTGGGTCGGGAGTGAGGGGCACCGGCAGGGCTGGGCTGGTAGGGGCTGCGGGTCGGGAGTGAGGGACACTGGGGGGCAGGGCTGGGCTAGCAGGGGCTGTGGGTCGGGAGTGAGGGGCACCGGCAGAGCTGGGGGTGGGTGGGGGCCCTGGGCACTGTCCCCTCTCTGCGGCGCGGCCACTCTAGGGTTAACTTTTGCCCAGACACATTTTCCACCCCAACCCGCCACCCTTTGATGTTGGCTTTTTAAGAGCCAGTTTGGAAGCAGCTGAGTTGGTTTGCGGGGAGTTGGGGGGGGCCAGGAGGGGACCGCGCCCCATGGCGCTGAGCTGGCAGATCATCCACCCTCCCCCCACAGCTCTGCCGGTGCCCCTCACTCCCGACCCGCAGCCCCTCTGTTGTTTCCCCTTCCTGGCTGAGCAGTCAGAGTGGCTGGGGTGAAGAAGGGGACCTGGCATGTCCCTTTGCTGCCCTGTTAATGTTCAATGGGCCCCAGCTCTGTCCTGGGGATGGGGGGTGGGGACTGTCCCCCAGCTCTGCTCTGTCAGGGGGGCAGGGCTGGGAATAGCCTCCCCTTCCAGGCATCAGATTTGGGGTGGGCACCGGCAGAGCTGGGGGGGGGGGCAGGGTTGGGCTAGCAGGGGCTGTGGGTCGGGAGTGAGGGGCACCGGCAGGGCTGCAGGGGCCAGGGTTGGGCTAGCAGGGGGCTGCGGGTCGGGAGTGAGGGGCACCG